AATTAAAGTAAAAATTAATAAAAATAAATAAATAAAGACTTAAACGCCTATAGACCAGCCAATTTTTGAAATAATTGAATTGTTCAAATAAGATAAATCTTTGTTGAAAGATCAACATTCAAGTTGAAAAAAGAAGGTGACCAAAATTTGAGAGGTTTTGAAAGCTTTTTTTTCAATTGGTGAATTTGATTCTTTTCAAATTTTTATGTGATTGTAAATTTTTTGTGGATTAAAGATATGAATGAAATTTTAGTCAAGATGAATGGTTCAATTAAAATTTATTGAAGTTTCAAAATAGCTATTTTAATTGATTAAGATTAGAATTCTTCAAAATCTTACTACAAATAGAATTCCTCTATTTAATATAATATTTCTTAACAATCTATGATATTAATAAATATTATCAAAAAAAAAAGATATTTTTTTATATGTGATAGATTTTTTACATGGTATAAAATATGTAATCTTAGTGAAAAAATCTACTATCACAAATATAAAATCATATGAGCTAAAGATTGTAAGATTTGTGATAAAATCTATAGAAACAAAAGAATATAGTAATTTTAATATGTATATAATGGCTAAAAAAGTCTATTAAATCAATGATAAGGAGTTTTTAATCTTTAAAAAATATCACACAATTATAAATAACTTTTATTTATTTTTCACATTTGAAGCAACTAATAATCTTTTAATGTTAATTCTAAGGTATCATTGTGTTCAAAATATTCTACAATTAGAAAATCATGACACATTTGAATAACATATAATTTTACTTCATTTTTTAATATATAAGCATCTTTTGAAATATAGTAGATTGTTCTTAAATTCAAATTTAAAAGGATTATGAGATTCAAATATATTTTTTAAAATATCATGAACAAGAGGATCTAAAGTCATATTTGATTGAACTTACTTAAGAATAGTTGAATTAGCAATCAATATTGATTTCATTATTGAAAGATGATATTTCTTTGGTTTAAAAAGAATTATTGTTTTTAAAATCAAAAGTTGCATTTTCTTCTTTAGGTATAAGATAAGAACATGTATAAAGATTGTCTAAAAATTCTTGTTGATTTATGATAAATAATTTATTTTAAATTCAAATCTTAACAAAGACATGCACAAATAAGCTTTATAATAATTTAGAGCACGTACTAACATAAAATACTTGAGGTTCTTATAATCCATATTTACAATGATTAAATTAAAAAAAAAAAAAACTTCTAAATCATATTACCATTCTTGATATGAATCTATAATTATAAGAATTATTTTATTATAAATCTCTTGGTTGATCTTGATTGCTTAAAATTTTTCAAATCAAAAGCTACTAAATGAAGTATGTCATTTGATAATACCAGATTTTTAATAATACCACATTCAAAGCAAATTTTGATGTATCTATTTTCATAAAAAATACCCTGAAGAAGTTAATGCAATATAAATTGATCCAAAAGTAAAAGCTAATTTTATAACTTTAAAAGATACATCCACTTCTTTACTCCACTCAAGTTTATCTTTATAAATCAAATGTGCAAGTAGAGATACAACTTTAAAATTTTCTTAGTAAAAATCTAATAGTAATTGAAAATTTTAAAAAATATTA